TCCTCCTCCTTTCCCCCCGCCCTTCCCGCGCGGTGGTTCGCTCCTCCCCGCCCCTTTCCCCCACCTCTCCCGTCCCCTCCCACCCCCGGCTCCCCGCGGTGGTCTGGCCCGGCCCGGCGGCGGAGGGAGCGGCGGAGCGGGCGGGCGGGCGGCGCTGCCGGGCGGGGGTCTCGCTCTCCGGGGGTCTCGCTCTGCGGAGACGCGGCGAGCGGCGGAGCGGGGCGGGGGAGACAGCGCAGCGAGCGAGGCAGCGGGAGCGGCTCCCCGACCGCGGGCAGCACCATGAGGTGAGCGGCCGGCTCCGGAGCGGGCGTCGGGCGCGGGGTGGGGGACGATGCTCCGCGCCCCCCGGCTCGGGCGGCGCACAGCCGGGATCGGGAACGGGATCGGGAGCCGGGGGGGATCGGCCGGCGGCGGGGGAGGGGGCCGGGCCGAGGGGAGCCCCGCGGTGGGGGAAGGGCCCATTGTTAGTGGCGGCGGGGGAAGGGCGGCCCGCCGTCCCCGTCCCCCCGCGGCGGCGGCGGCGAAGTTGCGGTCGGGGGGCGGCGGCGGGACCCGGGCCGGGCCGGGGGCGGCCCTGCTCCGGCGCCTCCCCCGGGCCGGGAACGGCGTGAGCCCCGGGCACCCGGCTCCTTTCTTTCTCTGCCGGTGGTGATTTTTTTCTCCCCCTTCCCCTCCGCCTTAGCCGGCGCGTGTTGCATTGCAGCAGCAGCTGGGCTTTTCCCTCGGTAATCAATAAAGAGGCGCCGGGGGGGGAAGGAGGGAGGGGGATCCCCCTCTCGGCAGCCGGGAAAGTGTCGCGTTCGGAGGTTTGGGATGTAAACACAGAGGTGGCCGCGGCTGGGGGCGGCTGGGAGGGAGGGAGGGAGGTGGGTGCCTGCTGCCTTCCCGCCGGGAACTCCCGCTCCCCGCCGGCTCATTCATTTGAAGGCGATTTTCTGCCTCCCCGGCCCGTGCCCCCCTTCCCCCCGCCATCCTCCCCCCAGCTCGCTTTTAGCGCCTTGTTCTGTTTCCATAATCTGCTTTCTGGATTGGTGCAGGACCCGGTGAGAAATGCGGCTCGGTGGCCGAGCGCTGGTCTGGCTGCTCGGGGACGCCGTGCTCCCTGTAGGCCTGCCCCTCACTCAGACAGCTGGGGAAACGAGTTACTCATGCCTGCCTTTTTTTTTTTTTTTCGCCTGGAAGTTATTGTCTGCCTTACAGTTGGATATGAACCTTCTTTGTCTTAAAGACACGAGTGTAAGTCCTTTGGAGTAGAGGTCCGGCAATGATTTGCATGATCTAAGTCGGCAGATTCCTCTGCTGCATAAAACTGATGAGCCATTAGAATGCCCTGTAAATTGCAGGAAAATCTTAATAAAATTTTTTTGTACTGTGAGGGTTCCCTCTTTCACTGCACCTTCAATGGAAAGGGTAGCGTTGCAGTGGGAAGCATGGGAACAATCTCCCTGCTGTTTTGTTTAGAATTGTGTTCCCGTATATCCCTCTAGTTTTCTTTGTTAGCCGTAGGTATTTATGTCCTACGTTATTTTAAGCTTTGTTTTGTCTTGTGATAATTTATTTTCAGTTATTCATGTTGCTCACGTTGAAGTCAGATACCCTACAAATGAAAAGTTACAGCTTGGAAAACCTACAGTTTGTATCCAGATCCTTTAAGCAGAGGTGTTCTTTTTAATTTTCTTGACAGCCTTTAGCACAATGAATGCTGCTAATCGAGCAAGACTTGGCAAAAATACCTTGGGAAGCCCCGTGAAAGTTTGGGTTTCGTGCTGGCAAAAAGCACTTGAATTGTGCTGGTGATGCTGAGTGAAGTGAGCTATAGCAGCAAGACTGCTCACTGTTCACTGATGTGACTGTATGTGTGCTAGGACTTGTGCCAGCTTGGAGGGAGCACAAGTATTCCTTTCTCTTAACTAGCACAACAGGAAAGTGTCTAGGTTGAACCTACCCTTAGGTTGCTTATTTATTAGATGTTTGAATAGTTGACTTGCAGCAGTGAGTGAATTTAGGTAATGTATTGCTGGCTCGTGCCTGCAGAGCATCAGGCTGGTAAGGGGGAGATGCAGTTGTGATTTGGAGGGTCGCTCTGATGAGTGGTCATGGGGTGTTTCAAAGGAAACTGACTTCCAGAACGCTTGGTTCCAGCCCTCTGGAAAAAAAGAAGCAAGCTGTACCAATTAAACTACACAGGCTAAAAAAATGATGTGGTTAAAGAAGTATTTTCTTTCTATAGAGGCACTATTAAATTCACTCAGTTTTGTTTAATTGGTCCGACTCCAGTACAATGGCAAGCTTTCACTGCATGCTCTCTCTTTGGACTTGTTTAGACTATGGTTGATGGTATATTTCTGAAACGTGTTTAAACAATATCTTCATGCTGTATTTTGTTAAAAGGCAATGACTTTTAATGTGCATTTGCTGGTAAGGCAAGGTCTGATGGGTTAGGAGTGGCAGGGTACATAGGACAAGTGACTAGCATTTCCTATACAGCTCCTCTGTAACAGCAGATGCTGTTAAATCTTAGCAGTTTATACTAAAAATATACTTTTGGCACAATATTGATGGTCTCGTGGAATGAGTAAACTGCATTCTGTCATTGCTGTTGAGCAGGTAAGTATGCAGTTGGTGCTCCAAAGAATAAAAAAATAAATAGATGAACTGGGGCAGGGCGGTGGAAAGCACCCTCACTTTCTTTCCTGTGCTTTGGCTATTCTTCAGCTATCATGAACCTGAACTAATTCTGATGATTTTGTGTTAAGATCTTGCGTCTTGTCTGGGTGATTAGCTGGTCAGTTGCCAAAGAGCAAACTGGTTTTCCTTTTGTCAAACAATACTAAACATCTTTGTGAAGAGCATCTTTGAATGTTAAAATAATCAGCAATTCTGTAAGACACAAGCACCAACACTACACAAGAATTAATTCTTGCAGAAGTCTGCTTTGTATTCAAATTGAAATGATATGCTATTTGAATAACATCTGTTAGGGGTTTTAGGTTGCGGAGAAACTCTGAATATTGAATATCCCAGTTAAATGTTCTAGCCTAAGTATGAGGTTACTTGGTTCAGGAGCCAGCTTGAATAGAGCTGTGTGTATCTGTGTCTCCTGCCCTAGGTAAACAGCTGATTCCCATGAACACCTGTTGCTCTCTTTGTACTCTGGTTAGCTGACAGAAATGCTGCCCCTAATACAATTTCCTGAAAGCACTTACATCATAATAGATATCCAGGAATGGGCATATTCAGTGAGGTTTCCATTCACCAGCTGACTGGAATGTGGTGGGGGGAAGAGATGGTGAAGATGTAGGTAACAGCAGAGTTTGGTGCCCCATTCTAGTAAAGGCATGACTTCCCATCGTGTTTGTACAAGAAGAATGTGTGTGAACAGACTTTTGTTGTAGCATATGTTGAAGTCTGTATTACGGAAGCTGGTAAGCACAACTCTGCTGCTAGAGCTGGGATTCTACAGTGAAGGTTAACTGAATTATCTTCAGTTTTTTTTTCTTTTGTATCAGGCTCATTTTGAATGTTAACTCCAATAAAAATAAATGAGCTTTACAAGATACGGACTTTTTAAAAATCAAACTGTACAGCCTTCTCTTGGGATTACTACATCCATTTCTTTGTGTGGGAAAGAATTGTTTTTCATTAGTGTGCTGGTCAGAAAGCAGACTGCTTAGTCGGGTTTCATTACCCATGTTCCCAAGTACTGGGAAAGAAACAGTATTTTTAGGAAATTTTTAATTCAAGTATTTCCAGAGCCCAGTATAATAATTTGTGTTTATGATGGGCTACTATGCATATCATATATACGTGAATTTCATTCCATGTTTCAGTAGGGCAAACAGCTAAATTATAATAGATTTTGCCTTTTCTGAAAAGTCATGTCATATTCTCGCTTGTGTTTTCAAGCTAAAAGGGCAGCTAAATTTGTGGTCTCTAAGCCACACTGAAATTTCCATTTACTTACAATCAGCAGCTTTTCTGCTCAAGTATGTTGCTACAGAATGCACTTCATGCTATTATTTAAAAGTCAGCATATTTTATGCCTGGGTTGGTAAGCCTTCATTATATTTTAAGTGTTGTGCTAAGAAAACTGTTGCCATACTCACTGTTTAGTGAGTGAAAGCCCACAGCAGAAGTAACAAAACATGTACCTTCATTAGGACTAGGAATTCTTGAAGGAACCCACACGCATTTCCTGGGGTTTCCGGGAAAGTGAGTATACAAGAGCATTATTAGTGACAATAGTACAGTTCAGTCTGCTGCAATAACTGCAGTTATTTAAGGTGGTGAAATAGCACAGCAGCAAGGCCATCAATTTGATGGTGACATTAAGTTATTGTTGGGTACGTAAGGTAACTCTTTGGAATTGTGCCTTTAGTTTTAATACTTGCCCGAATGGTGTATTTGAAATAGGAAGCTTAATTTAGTTGAGAAATATTTGACAAAATGTTGGAAGTGCAAGCAGGCAGTTAAATTAGACTGGATATACATAACTGCAAGCAATACAGTTCCTAAAATTGCTTGTATCTCAAGAGAAAAATTGGTGGTGTGGGCAGTTTTTTTTTTTCAGGTGGATACAAGAATTCAGGTTACTTTCCTTGTTCTTAAATAAACTAACAGATGGATTGAGTCATCTGTCTGATAGAAGTGTGGTCTTTAGCTTGCACTTTATTTGTGACAGTTGCAAGTAATTTTTGGACAGGCTGTTTCTGCCCACCTGATACGGGATCTGACAGCTGTTTTGCCTGCAAGGCCTCTGGATAGTTTAGTGAATTATTTTGATAGTAAAATTATAAATCTTAAAAAAATTACCATGTGAATGGAGAGTGCAGGAATGAGAATACTTTTTTTTTCTTTTTTAGACAAAGCTATTTATGACCATCTTAGCAATTATGTTGTCAGCCTCTAAAAATTAGAAACAGTCTGGGAGTGTGTATAATTCAGGAATGCTCTCTGGAAGGGCATGTACAAGCTTTTTCTTGACTCTGATTCAGGGTTTCATGTTTGCTGTTGGAGGTCAGAAAACAAGAACGGGTTAGTTGGCATCCTGCTTTGGGCCACTGTAGCCTAAAAGCCTTTTTTCTCCACTTCCATAAAAAGCAGAAACATTTTTCTCCCAGCACCTGTTTCAGTGGATGCTTTGCCCTAAGTGACGTCTCTCGGCGCTGCCTTAGGCATGTGATTGGAAATACTTTGTAATGAGGCCTGCTTCTTCCCATGCCAGGGCAGCTCATGTGGAACTATTATAGAAGTAGGTTATTGAACCACTGGATAGAGTCATTTG